ACTGAGTTCGACTGTCTGAAATAGACGACGTTCGTCTATAGTGTGGCCACACATTTCTATAGTCTCGCTCACACGAGGGGCCCAGCGATATCTCTCTCTTTTACGAGAGGTATAAATCCCGTCTTGACTATCTACAATCCTGCACATGATTCGTTTCGTACCTGATACACGCCTTTATAGTCCTCCTGTTATGCAGGACGTTTGACGTATTCAAAGCATGAAACTCCTCATGTTGGATTCCGTAGATATCTCAGGTCTTAGGATCCAATCATGGAATCGCCGTATGAGATTCAAGTCATGACGCTAGTCCATGTGACAATCTCATGCGGGTCATCCAGTATTCCGTTCTCCAACGAATACCTATGACTGTGATCGTATCCAATACCTATGATCATCTATATGATCATCAATCACACATCATACTAGTCTTGTTATATCATTATTCCCACAACGATACATGACTGGGGAGTTTAGTATTGTTCATAACAATACATGGATTTCATAACATATTAAAGCATGCACGCAATGAATCAAACACTCATCCATAAACTATAGAAAGTGTCAATACATCAAATGTATTTAAGTAAAGATCGCAAACAGTACATCATAGAGCACTAAACCAACACATAGTTGGTTGATAGATATAAGGTTTTTATGAATAGCAGGAACATGAAGAAACATTGTTTAAGGTTAAGGATCGAGAGGAAGAGGGTAAAGACATAGAACCAGTGTGTGTGATCATTAGCCCTTTACCATCGCCGATGACAACCTCGTCTCCTCCACGATATGGTTCATGAAGGGAGAGATTGTGCAGATCCGTGGTGATGTGGTGTGAAGCACCGGAGTCGAGGAGCCAAGAGGGAGTCGGTGGAGAGATTATTGTAGGATGCGCCATTGGCTGCCAGGAGTTGTTGCGAGAGTTCGATGGTGGTAAGACATTGGAGGACCCCGCAGAAGTTCGGAGATGTCGGCAAAATCTTACACTGTGGCCCTGTATACCACATATTTGGCATTTACCTTGGTAGCCACGAGGAGGATTGGTCGGGGCTCGAGATGGACGCGTATCCTGCGAGTTTTGTCGAGTTTTTTGATGCCAAGAGGGTTTGGATTTCTGTTGTGCCATGTTAGCAGTGACTGGAAAACCGGAGACTTCAAGAGAAGTGGTGAGAAGATCAACTTTTGCGCTGATGAGCTTTTCATTAATTCAACAAAAGAGATGGTGGTGTTCTTTGCTTGAACAACATCTTTAATGGATTTGTATTCCTCTCCTAGGCCGGCGAGGATTAAATCGAGGAGATCTTCAAAGTCCATTGGCTTCCCAAGAAGTGCAAGTTCATCACTCTTGACTTTGAAGAAATTCATATATTCGTCAATGGATTTGGTCCCTTTTGAGTGTCGGCGAAGTTGTTCCTTGATTTGCTTGATGTGGTCGCGGCTTGAACGACCATATGTCGCGGAGAGGGTGACCGAGGTATCACCAGAAGAACGAGCTGAAGCAATTAACGCCTGACAAGATGCGGAAACAGAACCAAGCAATGCCGAGAAGACAAGTCCGTCTTGCCGAAACCATGGAGTATAAGCCGGATTTGGGACCGAAACATTGTTTGCGGTGATGGTCGGCGTTGGAGCAGACAGGATCGAGAAATCTGTCAAGGTTATATCCTTGAAGAAGAGCTCGGAGTTGTACACTCCATGTGATGTAATTCATCGAGGTGAGCTTGGTGACATTAGAGATGTTGACATTAATCAAAGTGTATTGTGGGTTGTCGGTGTCGAATGGTGTGACGTTATCATTCATCTGAGTGTTGGAGGAGGTATGCTCAGTAGCCATTGCTGGGAGCTTGGTCAAGAAGCGTAGAAAGGAAGAGGGCCGAAAAAATTAGGATGTCGCAATATACGAGGCTCTTGATACCATGTGAGGAATAATGTTCTCTCTTGCATTGATACGTAATGTAAGTCAATAATATATACAGAAGATAAGTGCTATATCTAAGGGATTACAAGAGAAGATAAATGAGGTTGTTACATATTACAAGCAATCACGTAGATTTGATACTGTCGAATATTGATCTTTGATTGAGTCAATGATTTCCTTCCATTAGCAAGTGCTAATGATACGGGGATGAGATACTTGAGAGATAGATTAAAAGTTTGGGGTAGATGTGTCTTAGATGGTGAATATCTTTATATGCGTTGTGGTGCTCATATATTGAACTTGATAGTGAAAGATGGTTTGCAAGATATGGATGTTTCTATTTGCCGAATCCGCTCAGTGGTTCATTATGTAAGATTTTCTTTCCTGAGATTCCAACGTTTCAAAAGTTGTTTGGAGAAGCAAAAACTCCCTACAAACACACGTGTTGAATTGGATGTGGAAACAAGATGGAATTCCACTTATATTATGTTGGAGTCTACTTTAAAAGTCAAGAAAGCTTTTGATTTGTTTGAGTTGCAGGATGAGAAGTATGTGGATGAACTAAAAAAGAATGGAAAAGTGGTGCCTTCAGAAGAAGATTGGTCACGACTAAGTGTTTTGTTGCCTTTTTTAAAAATCTTTTATGATACCACTGTGAAGATTTCTGGTTCTCAGTATGTGACCGAAATCTTATACATGAAAGAGATATTTACAGTGGGAGTACGTATTAAGGTGATGAGTATGAGCGAAAATGAGATGATTCGCTCAATTGCATTGAAGATGATAGACAAGTTTCGCAAGTATTGGGGGGATTACAAAATAATGAATCCTTTGATTTATCTTGCAACTATTATTGATCTGCGTCTCAAGATGGAATGGATAAGTTGGGCAGTTGAGAAAGTTTATATGGAGCATGAAGCTAAAGATATGATGGATATCATCGAACAAACACTGCAAAAGATGTCTAAAGTTATGACACTACCTTTGAGCCGGGTCAATCAAGTGGAAGTGAAGTGTTGAGTGCTAATAGTGTGGATGGTATTGATGATTGGTTGTTTCAAGATTATCTGAAACGTAAAAGTCATGGGAGTGTAGTAAAATCATAATTAGAGAAGTATTTGTCCGAAGAATGTGAAGAGAATGTTCAAAACTTTGATATTTTGTATTGGTGGAAGACGACGGGTTCAAAGTATAAGATTCTTTCTTTGATGGCACGAAATCTTTTGGTTATTCTGGTATCGACAGTTGCTTCAGAGTCTGCTTTTAGTACCGACGGTCGTATGATTAGTCCATATTGTAGTTATCTCACTCCGAAGATGGTTGAAGCTCTTATTTGCACTCAAGATTGGATTCGTAGTCCCGATGGATTGAATAATATTGAAGAAACGTTGGAAGAGATTGCAAACATTGAGATCGGTATGTAATATTTTGAATATTTTTATGTTTATTTATTGGCTTATTGGTGATTCTAATATACTTTTTTTTGTTTAGATGAAATAACCGAATTGTTCGAATCACCAATGCTAAATTTTGATGATTGATGTGGTGATCAACGAGTTTTGGAGAACTAGAGTATGTAAAGTATAATAATATATCATATATATCTAAATTTTTATTAACCAATTGGTTTATATTATATGTTGGAATGTTTTTTTTACAGATTTTTCATGAAGATTCAACGTATGTTTTTTTTACGTATAGAGGTTTATGATTCTTAATCTTTTTAATTTAAACATTAAATATATTTGTATTAGATGAATTATGATTATGTTCGTTGTTGGTTTGATTTAGAATGTTTATGTTATATATTTTGAATTTGAATATCGTTTTGTATTTGATAGATTATATATTTTGTTTTTGTTTTAGTTTCTTAATTTAATTTTTTATTTTTATTATTTTTGTGTCGGATACGGATATTTGCAAATATCCGTAGTTTTTACGGATATCCGAAATTGCGGATATCTGAAAACTACAGATTGGATACGGATAACAAAATATGATATTTGTACAGATTGGAGATGAATACAAATATCTGAAAAACTCCGGATATACGATATGTGTTCACCCCTAAATACGACAGTGAATTTTGTCGAATTCCAGTCATTGACCATTTGAATGTCTATTTCTATTTATATTAAAAATGTACTTTTATAGTTGTTTTAACAGTGTAAATATTTTTAATTACATTAATTAATTCGGTGGTGACACATTTAATATCTATATAAAAATTATTTAAACTATGTCTAATCCATCTCTTTCGAGACTTATAGGAATCATGATTCGGAAAATTGTTCTAGAATCTCTTTTATGAACGAAATGAAATATACAATTTTTTATTGTATGATACTGGATTTGAAACGGGGGAAAATCATGACTTTTCATGTAAGTATAAGTTTTTTTATGACATAAATAGGGCCAATCTATATATTTTATGAGATTCAATCACATGTTAACCAAGGAAAAAAATGTATTCAAAGTAGAAGATTGAAAAGGGGTTGTCAATTAGAAATTTTATTAGAGATATATTTATTTTTAAAATTAGTGGGATTTAAATACTTCAATAAGTAAAGATTATATGATTGAATAATATTAGATAACCTGGAATTTTAACAAAGACGCCACTTTGGAACTTCTTTAAAATAAGATAGAAATTTCATATATTTTCTTTGATTAGTTGTGAATTTGTTTTTTTTATTTAAAAAAATAATACATATATAATTTTTTATATCAAAATTTAGTTCTAAGCCAACTATATTTGGTTCGAATTTTACATTAGATTTTATTAATGATGACCATTTAATAAAGGAAACATTTGTTTCAATTTTTTTATATTTAATTTTTATATTCGATTTTTTATAATATGATTTATATTCTAAGCCAATTATATTAAATCTTTTTAGGGAATATTCAGTTTTTCGGATTTTATAAAATTTAGCTAGATTTTAAAAAATCCAATTTTCTAAAAATAATAATGGTCGGATAAAAAAAATATCGTATTTTTCGCTGCGTCGAGTAACAGTGCAGAAAAGCCCCTAATATATACACATCTATAAATCTATTAAACACTCACAAGAAAAGGTTCCTACAGAATCGAAAGTTCATGTCCGCCGCAAAATTCGTCTCCTCATTCAGGCTCGCCTCTCTCCTCCGCCATGAGAAGGACCCTTCCGCCGCCTTCAAGCTTTTCCGGAACCCTAATCCGGAGACGGCAAACCCTGAAAGGCCCTTCAGATACTCGCTTCTCTGCTATGACATCATAATCACTAAGCTCGGCCGAGCCAAGATGTTCGACGAGCTCCAACATGTTCTTTACCAGCTTAAATCCGACACCCGAATCGCTCCCACAGAGGTTATCTTCTGCAATGTGATCGATTTCTATGCCCGAGGGCGTTTACCCAACCATGCGCTCCAACTGTTCGACGATATGCCTCTTTACCGTTGTCAACGGACCGTGAAATCTGTGAACTCGCTGTTGAATGCGCTCCTGAAGTGCCGCCAGTTCGAGAAGATGAGTGATATCCTTCTGGGCATGGAGAAGTTCGGGAACCCAGATGCTTGCACTTACAATATTCTGATCAATGGGTGTTTTCGAAATGGGTGTTGCGATGATGCATGGAGATTGTTCGACGAAATGCTCAGGAACAAGGTGAAGCCCAGTGGGGTGACTTTCGGGACGTTGATTCACGGGTTATGCAGGGATTCGAAGGTGAAAGAAGCATTGAAGATGAAACACGACATGTTGAAAATGTACGGGGTTCGCCCTACGATTCACGTATATGCGTCACTGATTAAAGCGCTTTGTGAGATTGGTGAGCTGAGTTTGGCATTCAAGCTAAAGGAGGAGGCAAATGAAGGAAAGATCAAACTAGATTCGGCTATTTACTCCACTTTGATCAGCTCACTTTTAAAGGTTGGAAGATCAAACGAGGTATCGGGGCTCTTGGAAGAGATGAGAGAAAACTTATGCAAACCGGACACAGTGACTTACAATGTACTGATTAATGGGTTCTGCATCAAGAGTGACACAGAATCGGCTTGTCGTGTTTTGGATGAAATGGAAGAAAAGGGTTGTAAACCAGATGTTATAAGTTTCAACATGGTGCTTGCTGCTTTGTGTAAAGCCAAGAAATTGACAGAAGCCAGTTACTTGTTTGAAGATATGCCCAGGAGGGGCTGTGGTCCTGATGTTGTGTCCTACAGGGTAGTTTTCGATGGTCTTTGTGATGGTATGCAATCCAAGGAAGCGGCTTCGATCTTAGATGAAATGCTTTTCAAAGGCTACAAGCCTCGAAGGGATGGTCTAGAGAGATTTCTCAAAGGGCTGTGTCAAAACGGAAACTTGGAGATTCTCGGGAAAGTTATGGGTAGCTTGCACCAAAGAGATGCCATTGATGCAGAGATCTGGTCGATTATAATAGATACAGCTTTCAAGGAACTCAAGATATGTCATATGTCGGATTCTATCGATTTGTTGCTGACTCGTTGAAGAAGAAGCTCTCCGTGGAAGAGGTAATAAATGATTTAATCAGCCATTTCTGATTACTCGTTGAAAGGGTGTTTTAGTCATTTACTCTTTAAAAACCCTAACTCATAGGTTGTTTATATCACCAACCCTCTTCTTCTAGATTTTATCAGTTCGGTTTCCTTGTCCGAGAGATTTTCTTCTCCAGTTCTATCATCTCTGTTCGGTACTTTCCCTCAATCTCTCTATCGCTGTCCTTCTCAGAATTCATCGCCTTTGTTAACACAAAAACAGATTCGCACTCTGAAAGTTTAGATTTTTCTGTCTGGGCATTGGTTTGATTCAGCAAATTTCTGACATCTTAAAGAATCGTTTTCTTTCCGATTGTAAGCCGAGAAAATTTCGGATCGAAGTAAACCCAGATGCAAATAATGCTTTTGTCTATTAAGTTCTGCTAATCTTTTCCCTTTGAATGTTTGGTTTACAGGAATGAACCTCGGCATGAACATGGTGACGAAGAAGATGGCAGTGCTTTACCATTATCCTTGCCATGACGGTGTTTTCGCGGCCATGGCCGCTCACCTCTACTTCTCAGCAAATTCAATGCCTACCCTTTTCTTTCCCAACTCTGTCTACTCCCCGATCAAAATCGACCAACTTCCTCTCCAAGAAATCAGCCATCTTTACCTCCTGGATTTCACCGGACCACCTGGCTTCGTTCACCAAATCTCTCCCAAAGTCGACAACGTCGTGATCCTCGACCACCACAAAACCGCTGCCGAGACACTCCGGGACGTTTCTTCCATGTTCAAGAACGTGACCAAAGTTTTAGATATGGAGAGAAGTGGAGCCACCATTGCTTATGATTACTTCATGCAGAAGCTGATAGAGGAATCCAGAGAAAGTTGCAGAGAGATGACTGATTTGAAAAGAATGAGACGGGTTTTCGAGTACATCGAAGATGGGGATCTCTGGAGGTGGAAGCTACCCGAAAGCAAACCTTTCTACAGCGGGATCTCGGATCTAAACATCGAATACAACGTTAATCAAAACCCGTCACTGTTTGAGCAGTTACTCTCCTTGGACCTGGACAATGTCATCAACAGAGGAAAAGCGAGTTTATCGCAGAAGCAAAAGCTGATTAACGAGGCCCTCGAACAATCGTACGAGATTGTTCTTAACGGGGATGGAGAATTCGGTCGGTGTTTGGCTGTAAACGCTGACGAGATTGCGGAGATGAGAAGCGAACTCGGGAATCAACTAGCGGAGAAGAGCAAGAATCTGAAACTCCGAGGAATCGGGGCCGTTGTTTACAGAGTTGCAGAGCTTGAGAGTGAAAACAAGCTGAAGATAAGCCTGAGGAGTGTCCCAGACGAAGACACGACAACTATTTCCCAGAAATTCGGAGGCGGCGGACATAAGAATGCAAGCTCCTTCACGTTGAGCTCCATTGAGTTCGAGCAATGGAAGGTGAATAGGAACTAGATATTTGCCTTTTTTATTTTTGCCAAAGCTTTGCTTTTGTAATAAATACAACAAAGCTATATTAGGTGTGATCATATATTTATAATATGTATGATATAGCCATCTAAAGGAGGTTCTATTGGTTATGTAATTTTTAGGGATGGTTTATTTGTTCAATAACCGAGTAACCGAACCGAATCAACCGAATTATAGTATTTCGGTTAGGCTAGGTTTTTTAATTACCAATTGGTAATAAATATTGAATAATCCTGTGGATTTGATTAGATCTAACGAGTCGAATCGATTTATTTTGTTAATTGATTCGGTTTGGTTATTTCGGTTATTTTTAACTCTAACTATATATACTGAAATTTTTAACCCTAGAGTTTTTCTTTGTCGGTCTCTTTTTCTACAAACAATAGTCTTCACTTCCAACATTTATAGATATAACCAAATTGAATTGAATTTAAATTTGATTATTATTTTGGCATAATATTTTATATGCATAATTAAATCGAGAACCAATCAATACCCGAATCGAACCAAATTAACTCAAGTTAAATGATTGTGCTTATAGTTTTTTGAAACCCGAGTTACACATCATTATGATCGAATTGAAACCGATCTAAAACCCGAATACCCTAGTGATTGTTATGGTTAGTATTAACGTTCAAGGGAAATGTACGTGGATCTTAATTTGATAGATAAACCGGTTTGGTTTTGGTACTGAAGACGGTTTAGACCAAACCGGGATGCTGATTGGTGGATGGGCAAATGATAAATTTTTGGGGCCTTGGAAGATGGCCCATTACCATCGGGGGATATTTGATAGATTTGGTCGGTGGGCTTTCAGGCCCATTTAGGAATAAGAAACAAATATAAAATTAAATGAGAGGAAAATATAAGAAAATGACATTTTATTTGTGATTCGTAATATTCGTATGTCCCATCATCCACCATTCTCTCGGCGCTTTATGGGAATTAATTTCAATGATATCATAATAATATAATCACCTACCTCTTAACAAACTTTATACCTAAATCTTTTTTTTTTTTTTTTGATAAAACACTTTGATTCTTTTGTTTTTCAATCGCAACATCATAAAATATAACTAATTTGGCATGAAGAAATTCATCTATTTGTCTAAAAGCAAATTTCATACAAAATCCAACCAAATTATATATAAAAAATTACATTTTAAATTAATCAAATTCAAAATAAATATTAAAATCGAAATCGAAATATTTTTAGTAAAAAATGAACATAATAAAAATCTTAGTTAAAAACTGAGCCACTATTATTTTTTTTTTGAAAAATATGAATACAAAAAATAATGAAACTAAAACACAAAATCTCTATCTCTAGTTTTATTTTTGAATTTTCATATTCACAAATATTTATATAAAAAAAAAGTTGATGGCCCGAACATAATTTTATACGAACTAATTTTTTTTTATTTGGAGAGAATGATAGATAAATGAAGAAATATCTGTGCGTCTTCAGATTTATTTGTTAGCGTTGGAAAAATATTCAACCTTAGCATATTTGTCAATTTATGTTAATTTCCTACATATTTTTCTTTTTTCTTTTTCTTTTCTTTTTGCCCACTCGACAGATTCTCAAATAAATGCACATATAGATATATAGATATATACACACACACACACAACACGTGTATATTCCTTTAAAACATAGTTATATTATAATATTATGAATTATTTACATGATTACATATAGTGATAATGGTGGAGATCAGCTATGAGATCCTTTTGAGACTCTGTTCTAACATTTGGCAAACCTAAACACAAAGCCAAACATGCCTAAACACAGCCCCATGATCCAACGGTCCACAAATTTCAAAATATGTCTCGCCGTCTTCGGAAATTACCATTTTGCCCCCGTCTCTTTCCTCCGGTCACCGGAGAAATTTCCCGCCATCTTTGCCTGATCTTTTTTACACCAAACGTGTTTTCTAGGAGCTGGAGAGATAAACCTCGCATTGTATCACAGACTTGCAGGTCATGAAACCAGGAACCACCGTGAATGCTACACGTGGCTCGGATTCCGGCGAGTAAAACGCCTCCTCGGCCACGCTCTTCATGTACACCTCCGAGAATCTGCAACCCTTCGAAACCCGAAAGATCTTTGCTTCGGGCTCGAAGGAGAAAGCCAGGCAATGCAAGAGCCAGACCCGTTTCGCCATTTCAAGAAATCCCGTGGCAAAACTCGTGTCCGGAAATTCCCCGGCGTTGACTTGGTTTCTCAGATGGGTGTGTCCGAAGAAAGCATGTTCCATCTTGGAGTGGATGAGCTGCAAATACTTTGCGCGACAGAACTTAGCGAATCTCGATTTGGGCCGACCAGTCATGTATTCCTTCGTTTTCATGGACATGAGCTCTGTGAATCTCAGGAAGAACACTTTCCTATCTTCATTACTCTTCTTCTTGATGGAGGATTCACTTGAACCAGAGAAGTAGGGCAGATTAAAGGCCTCGAACATTACCCTGCAGACAAAATGTTCGAAAGCGAAACACTTATGATCTGTCTTGTAATAGAAAGCTCCTGGCTGTATGGAATTAGCAGCCATGTCGATGTCCCATGCTGCGAGTTTCATCTCCTCAACCGTCAACCTGACAAAACCCCTGATAGATTTGACAGTGTGGTGAAGAAATGTGGTGAAATGAGTCGGGTTTAGCCCCGACAAGGGAAGATCATCCAGAGGGTTGGAAAGTTGAAGACTTTGGTTCAGTCTTTTCTCTAGCAATTTGTTCTGCTTGACGAGTTCTTCCAAGTTTTCTTTCAAAAATATGACTTCCGAGTCTTTGAGCTTGAGCTGAGACTCCACCCTCTTCCCCGTGATCTCATACGTTTTCAATAGACTATTCAGTTCTTGGATTTCGGCAAGAAGTAATGTTCTCTCGGGACAAGGGTCAAACTGTTTCTTCAAGAAGCATTGTTTCAGTTCAGACAATGTCTTCAACTCGGACACTATCAAGTTGTCTGCTTTCTGGATCCCATCGGAATCGTACGGAGACTGAGAATGCTGCAACTGGGCATAAGCCGATTTCAGGGAAGAAACAGTGGCAAACAACTTTGCGAGAAGAGCTTCCAAGGCCAGTCTCTTCCCGTGTTCTTCCTCGACATTGTCAAACAGCCGAGACTGATTAGCATTCTTGGCCGAGTCCTGATCGGATTCGACCTTTTCCAGGCTCTTCTTCACTTTCTCAACACCGTCTTCAGGAGCCACGCCCGATAACTTATGGATGTGAAGAACTTTGGCAAACGCACGTCTAAGTTTCCCCTTTCCCGGAGCAATAGCCACCGGTTTGACAGACTCCATCTGCAGGTAGATTCAACACCAATGCTTAGTAAGATAGACAACATCAATATCAAGAATTAGACGTTAAACCCGGAAAACAAAAAGAGCCCTCCAACACAAAACATCAACAAATGATAAAGAGAGGAGAAAGCACAAAAAGAGGAGAATGATTTGGAGTATACAGAAGGGAAAAAAAGTAGGAAGCTTTAACACTTTAGATCAAAGGTCGTTAATGGAATGCCAAGCTTTCTTTTCCTAACACTCTCTACAAATAGGAAACTACGACTTGCTTTCTTGAAAAAAAACCAAAAGAATGAAGGCAAAAAACAAGATACACTTGTGTACACACATATATATATACATACACATATATACATAGATATCCATTGACATTGATTCATGCAAAGGGAATGTGATTTTTTTTTCTAATAGGAAGAAGGAATAAAAAAATATTAAGATATGGCCAGCAGAAGAAGAATAAACAGCTTGTGGTGTACCATTTCTTTTCATGAACCGACCTACTTTTCTTTTTTTGTTCTCAAATATCTTTTCTTTGATCTTGCTTCTAGTATTTTTTTTTTATTTTTTTTTTTTGGGCGGGGCTGTCTGGTCAAAATGCACTGCTGAAGAATCAAACAAGTCAAGGAACAAAACAAAGAACAAATTGTGTCCATTGGTGTATATACAAACACATGACCACGTGCCAATAATTAGACACCCTTTCTCTCAAAAGAAACAGGACAAGAGCAGGGCAGAGGAGTAACGGGAATCTAATGGTGAATTTCTGAAAACAATGCCTAAAACGCCAATGTGAGAGTATTATATATACATATACGTATATATACACACACAAGTAGATAGTGTTAGGTGTGGACTATATATACACACCCAAGAGCCATTTTCCTTTATGTTGGTCCAGACTCCAGATTACTCAAAACTGTTCATAAGATTATACAATTCAGACTTCTGCTAAACCAAACAAGGATTACTCAGTCATGGCAATAAGTCATTAGTTGAATAAATCCATGAACTATCCAAGTGCATGACACATGTATGTATACGTGATTTTCTTGAAAGAGAATCGATTTCAACAATTTAGCAACAGAAATCTCCAAGCATGATATGATACATCCACAAATTATTCAGTAAAAATCAGACCCTACCCAGAAACAGTCATGATCTCTCATGCAGTGCAATGATCACTAACCCTATAGAAAAGATTAATTCGTTAGTAAATTCATTAAGGTACTGTTAACAGTGATTAGCAAACTTGCAGATGAACTCTAACCCCTCAAACCCAGCTTCATCTTTTCAATTAAATTACTCTTCAGGGATTCAAAGTCTTGCTAGTTCCAGAAGCAAGATTTATGAATAGACAGTCATCCAAGTAAAAGACTGTACCTTTGAGAAAGTTCAAAGCCCTCTTCTGCTTTTCTTCCTCACTGAAATCCTCTCTTGATTGTATGAGCAAATCTGAAGAAAGCAACTTCAGAAATAACAAAGAAACCTCTGCCTAAACCCTGTATAACAAATCAACCAAAACTAAATTCAACACATAGCCAAGGAAGGTCAAAGAAAATGGCGAAGCATCAGAACCCAGAAGAGACAAATATGAAGAAACAGGAAAACACTCACAAAAGATTTTAAATTGTTAAAAAGAAATGCCCTTTGGGTCCCAAAAGGGCAAGAAAATTGGAGATCCCAATTTTGAAACCGACCATATGCATAAATAACTGAAAAGAAAATGACAATGATACACGCTGATGTAAATGCTTGTATGCGGCATTATTGTTATGAGCTAACTACAATGGGAGGAGGCCCACGGCCAACACAATCATATACGTTTTATGAAATCACGATCCTGTATTTATTGATTGAAAAGGATAAAAACTTCACCACAGTAGTGGATTTGAGTCATTTACCAGGAAGAATAATCGAAAGTTAGAATCTTTTTTTTTTCTTTTTCAAAACGAACCACTACTGGAAAATCTCTGGCGGCTTCCCTCCCAAATATCTCCTTCGAATCTCACGAAAAAAAAAACAAAGGGAAAATGAACAAAGATTGGAGAAGATTCAGCGTAAACCCAGAGCTCGAGTTGGAAAATCTTGAGGAGAGAGAAGCCGTAGAGGGTCTAGAGAGAGAAAGAGTG